CAGAAAGCAGCATTGCTCACTCACACTAATTTATATTCATTTTTTGTTATACTCACCGTTCTTACTTCGTCTCTTCACATCCTAATTTTTATTGTGCAGCATATGTATATTTTGCTGCCTACCTGTACCAGTATTTATGTTTTCAATAAAGAAAATAAAAAATTCTACTTTGTTTTAAATAGTGCAGCATCTTTATGTTTTAATTGAAAAAGTTCAAAAATCATCTTCAAGTTAGTGTAGTTATTTCTAGTCCTTAAAATATCAAGTAATCACAATGAATAGTAGATTTTTTCATTCACAAAATTTTTCAGCAACTCTTTGTTTTTACATTGTCTGGAAACGGACACCCCATTACACTACAATTAATTAAGCGTGCTTGGGTATAGAGAAAAAGGGTAAAACAAAAAGTATGTAAGATTAACTTCTAACACACCATTTTCACTAAGTAAAGTAGTCGAACTCTTCATATATAATATATTTCTCTGTCACTGAAAAACGAACATAATTAATTAATCATCCAGTCTCTGAACAACATCAAAAGCAGAAATATGTTCTAGGAAAATGCATTCAACATGTGTAATGGTTCTTTTACAGTACTTGGAACAGTTGGCCTAATTAAACTTGCTTCTATTAGTGCCATCTGATCAGTCAGTTATTATAGTGGTATTGTTACTTGAGATTTGTTACTTTTGTAAAACTATATGTTCTTATTTGGAAATCATCAGAAATATTTATCTCACAGTCTAGATGATGTAGTAAGTCTTTCAGTTGCGGCAGTTATCTTTGTAAGTTTTAAATTAGAATAAAAAACAATAATACAGGCAATTTCAACTACGAACGTAGTAGCAAGTTAAACTGTCCACGATAGTTTCAGCTGTTTGATGACCAGTTCATTGTACTTTTAACTAATATACTCGATAAAAATATGTTGGTAACTTTGTATAACCTCGCCTAGTAAGGTTGTCAATGAATTTTCTTATGTGTAGGACATGAAGCAGCAGTATGGTGCGTGCTCACTATGTCGGCCGTGAAGTTAACCGGTCATGTTGATGACATTATTGTTATTTCTGGCTCAGCTGATCGAACTATACGTATATGGTGTCTACGTGGTCTTAATCAAGACATAAATTCGCCCGAGATAATTTTACTAAATTCTTTAAATGAACACAAAGACTGTGTACGAGCCTTGGCATGTATTGATGATTCACGATTTTTATCAGCGAGTAATGATGCCAGTATAAGAGCTTGGGATGCTACTACTGGTACATGTATTGGAGAATTTTATGGACACACGAATTTTGTTTATGGACTGGCTAGTTTGCCTAATTTTCCAAAATTCGTTTCTTGTGGTGAAGATAGGAGTATTCGTGTCTGGCTTCTACCTTCGGCAAGTGAATGGGCTGCTGGAAAACAGTTTTGTTGCTTTCAAACTATTTTATTGCCATGTCAATCTGCGTGGTGTGTAGCTCTGGTTCCAAATGGCGATATTGTTGTCGGAGGCAGGTAATTATTAAGTGTAAAAACTGTAGAATCTGGTTTTGAATTTACACACTTTCTTAAATCTTCCCGATATAATCATATATGACGTTTTTTAATGTGGGCTGATAAATTCTCTCCAAAATTTATATGTAGAATTTGGAATTCCTACGTTTGCATCAAATCTCCATCCCTTCTCATGTGAAACAAAACTGTTAGTAGGATATATATCGTGCGAATTTCATCTAACGCTAGCCAACTTCTAAATGTCGAAGTTAAATGATGACAGTGTGCATATAGCATGTGTCCCATTCATATCCACTGTTGTTAACTTGATGTTCTTTCCATCTGGTCGTTGGAAGATGAATACCGTTTTCTATGGTTTTTAACTGAAAATAAATAATTGCTTGCTATCTTTCGAAAGCACATATTCTGGACGATCAATTATACAGAACCAATTCATGACTAAATGTTCCAGTAAGCTAGATTACAGTTCACAGGTCCTGCCTTTAAAAGATATTCGAAAATTGTGTTACAGATTTTATGAAGTTATAAATCACTTGTATCGATTTTTGTGAACTGTAGCAACTTAGACCAATAGATATTTTGTGTGAAGTTTTACATTGTTTCTAATCGACCAACTGGTTCAATGTAGAGTTCTATAATAATTTCTAATTCAGAGTAAATGCAATGGTTAAATGGTTAAAGCATTTGATTCCCGATTTGTCAATCTCAGGTTCGAACCCCATTCCACCTGCTTCGTTTTTAACAACCGAGTAGTGTTGCCAACCCCCACAGCTAGAGTACAATTTAAAGCTGACTGCATAGATTTGGTCCATTAATTAACCAATCAGTTTGCTCTTCAACTAATTTGTTTTAGTTCATGATATCTATTTCGAAGACAATAACGATAAAAATTTACATTCATTACATTCAACCAGCATGTTGATTCTCTTTTTTTATCAAACTAATAATTGGGGTAAATTTTGGCAAACAGTAAATAACATAGTTAACAGTCTCAAGTTATTGCAAATATTCTTAATTTTGATTGTTGTTAGAATCGATTTAATATGAGGATAAAGTCTACCCAATAATTTTTTTTCATTTCGATTGACCATAGGTCTTTATTCAAATGATCAACTGTACTAAAGATTATCCACTTATTTCATATATTTCCTAGTGACTCAATGATTCGGATATTTTCATGTGACACAAAACGCCAAGCATCTCCAGATGTTTTGAAACTTTATGAGACAGAATTGGCAAATTTCAAGATTACAGTTTCTAATTCCTCTGAACCTGGAGATTTGGTTTTGAACAATTTACCGGGAGTTGATGCTTTAACAAGACCAGGTATTTCATAACTATGTTGTACTTACTAATATTCTTTTGCATATGTTCTTATGATATCATTACACAACTAAAGAATTGTTTATTTGTTCATTCAATATCGAATTAATAGTGTTCTTCCAACAAGGTTTCGTGCACACTAATAGATAATACATAGAAGATGTTACCTAGTAAAATGGCAGAGAAAAATATAAGTTAAACGTTTATACCATCCGGCATTTTGTAGATGATGACTTGTTTACCGAATACTCAGCTTTCAGTTTCATTGTTTTGTATGAATGGCATTGATTTTAATTGCCCAAAACTAGATAGACAGGTTTTTATATATATATATATATATATATATATATATATATATATATATTTCATACTGTCACACAGTAGCTGTAGAATTTCAACTGCTGTAAACAAGATTCTTGCTTATAGGTAACAATTTTTGCTCATATTCAATGAAAATAGGGTTGAATCACATGTTACTAAGTTTAAAATGCTCCTTCGACTATTACATATTAAAAATAGGTTTCCTTAAATTGTCATCATTCACCAAATTTTTTTATAGTTGCCTATCTACGGAATCCAAGATTTCCGTTCTATCCAAGTTGGTGTCCATCTGATAAATTTGATTGCACATAGTGTTAATGTGCACACATAGACTTGAATCCAGTATTTGTCTCTTTCAAGTCTAGAGTGTTACCATTTAGTTTTCTGAATGATTAACTGTCTCGAATAGAAAGAAACCATTGTCCAAAAATATGATAACTATAGGTAATCTCAAGGTATCTTTTCAAAAATCTCACATGGCTTTAGAGATTAGTTAAGATTCAGCCTTGAATTTGAACATTAGAAAACCCACATCCTTAAAAGTAGTAGTAATGTGTGTTTATTGTTCAACAAGCAATTATTTTCCACTATCATGATTATGTTTTTGATTATGTAGGGAAATCGGAAGGACAAATCATGGTCATTAACGATAACGGTCGTTCTGTTTGTTATCAATGGTCTTCACATGATACTCGATGGATTGAAGTTGGTGATGTTGTAGGAAGTCAACCTTCTAATCGTCAAGTTTATGAAGGCAAAGTAAGCTTTTATCTACTAACCATCAGTTTTGTCATTTTTGTTCACTGTTAAGTGAAGTTTTCATGTCACATCATATTCATCCAATTTTTCCTGAATATTAGGTCGTGCTAGTGTTGATAGGTAGAAATAAAGTTTTTCTTTAATCATGAATCCGTAAAAAATAAATAGAAATACATCAAGTTTCTACTTTGTTGTAGAGTGACTTTCAACTATAATTTATAGAAGGATAATCTAAATACTGTTTTTTTGTACTGAACCAGTCACAAAGCAAAATATTTGATGGTTAAAGCGATAATGTGACATTACAACGTTCATTTGATGATGTTTACCCGCGTTCATGCTGTTATCAGTCAGTCAGTTGCAATGTAAAACTTAGTGCTTACGTACATCAGTTCAAGTTGCCACCCACCATTACCACAAAGGAATGAGATTTTCAAACCAAATCCCAGAATAGTAGAGGTAATAACAGCCTTAGTGGTAATGGAAAGATTAAGCATCGATGATATGGTTCATGAAGATACAAATCAATGAAATAAAAACATATGAGGAATTTAGAATATTGGGGAAGACAAATAGTGGATGCACCTGTACCTTTACAAATGATTTCGAGCTATTTCATTCAAAGTCTCTAACCATCAGTTACGATAAGTACACGAAACCCATTGAGGTAATATACGCTTATCAACGGGTGGCATGTTTTGAATTGGCCATCTCTAGATTTCCTACAGCCTACTCCAACACCAGAAATCTATAGTCGAAACAGGCGGTGCTTGGGCATATGTAACACATGGCCCAACCACCCCGACTGGTGAAGTTTCAATACTTCATCTATTGATCTGCCATCCTTATCTAGGACCCGTTTTCTAACAACTGCATTGCTTACTCGGTTGTCCCATGATACATGAGCAATGCTTCGGAGACACCTATGATCGAATACTAGTAATCTATGAATATTCTCTACTCTGGCTGATCATGTTTCACATCCACAGAGTAGGACGGAGCGAACTTCTGCGCAGAAGACTTGTCCTTTGGTTAGTAGACGGGTATCTCGCCTACGCCATAAGTGATGCAGGTTGGTGAAATCCAGTCGAGCTTTCTATACCCGTGATAAGATTTCGTCACACACCAGTTTGCTAGTGCTGGTCAGATGCCAAACTACTTAGTGTTGTTATTCTGTAAAAGGTATGACAACTTAGTGAATACATTGAATATCTGATAGTTAAAAGCAAAGAATATGAGCGAACATTTGTTTTTATTAATCTCATCACCAGGTTCTTTCTAATTTTAGTATTATTTTACAAAGGCCGAAATAAGGCATCAATTAATAAATAAGACAGGGGTATATGTTAAAAACAGTGAAAGTTTGTAACGATCGTGTTATTTATAAATTGAAAAGATTATTGAATAAAGGTCAGAAAGATTCAAAGTAAGTTGTCAAGCTGTAATCAGTATAATAGTACCATATATAGTGTGAATAAAATACATAGTAGGAGAAATTTCTTCTTGAAAATGGAGATGATAATAACAATAATAACGTCGTCACTGAATTACGTAATATGAGCAGTGCGATCAAAGTAGTCATGATAAACATAAAAAAATTATGTGGATTGGAAAAGATGAATATTAACATTAGGAAAAATATCATCACAAAAGGAAATGGAAGGGGGTGATAAGAGGCTTATTTTCAGTTTCACTTTCTAATGATGCTGTCGTGGACCAAGATAAACACCGAGGCTGAATATATCTTATTTGAATACATAAGTTGGGTTTCCTGGAGTTGATCCAGACGGCTTCAGATTTACGGTAGAGTCGTAACCTGGCTAGCTCCTTTAGGTAGATTGTTTGAAACTCGGTATAAACACAAAGAATGCTTCATCTATTTCAATTTGATGTTCACTGTTTACTAAACAAGAAAGGGTGGTACTGTCAGTCACTTTCGTTATTCCTTTTCCTAAGGATGCTGGTTAGTGTTCACAAGCGTGCAAAGGTGAATCCCTATGAGTTGAATCGGTACACACATATGGAGTAGCCCATCATTGGTAATCTATCGTTCATTTGTTGTGTGAGTACTGGTTTGGTTCGAAAGACTAAATGTCCTTTCAACAGATCTATTAAGTCATGTTAAAATACCCCCCGACAGTAGCTACTCCAGACCGTAGCTGCTACCTTGAGGTGGTGGCCGGGCTTGCCTATCGTGATGACCCAACCGAGCTATACTGGCTGGAACTTATGTTCCTGAAGGTTCTACCATGCCAGGCAGGCCGATCGGAGAACGATGAGACAAAAAGCAGCTACTCAAGGTTTGAGGGTAAGGTCGTACTGCTGACTGCGGACGGATGTGACAGCAGTAAGGTGTTTCCCTCGGACAACCAGCATCTGCAGCGATGCTGGCTTCTCACAAGGAAGGAAGGGTTAGAAAAGGTCGACCCTAAAAATGTCACACCTCACCCTACCTCACGGTTTTCCGTCTCCGTCGGTAAGGGTGCCCACTAAGGGCTTTCAAGAGCCGAGCTAATACTCAAAAAAGTTTCCATAACAAGGCTGTGAGTGACCGGTCTCAAGCAGTTGTCCCTTGGACTCTGCGGTCACGCTCCGAGGTCTCCAAGACCAACACTAATCTACCTTCCTTTTCAGGTTCCTCAAGAAACAACCTTCCACAGTGTTGGCAGCCGGTAAGTGACATCCGCCCTCATACCCGCAAAAGCACGCGAGACCAAATTGGTCAAAATCAAATCCTTCTTACACCCCGTAATACCTCTCTTATCTCTATGACTAACTCTATTCGCATTCCTTCAGCTCACTGCAACGTTAATGCAAACGAAGCGAGTTCACGTTACGTCGTTCCTGGTTTCCTTTAACCCCGTTCTAGACTACATGTTGAAGCTTTTAATGTACGGACATTGTGTCCAATAGGGCACCATGCCTCGTTAGCTAGAACTTTAGAATCTCGTGCCATCGATGTGTGCTGCGTCTCGGAAACGCACATATAGGATCCTAGTAAAGTGATTAATGTGATTTCGCCTTGTCAAAATAAAGAAGCAGCCCGATTTACTCTTGGTGTATCCGGTAGCCCTGATGCTGCTTCCCGGGGTCTCTCCTAGACTGCATCCATGTAGATAGTCGCTTGTGTGATGTCTGACTATACGGGACGGTATGAACTAGGAACGATAGGCAAACTCGCCGTTGCCTCTTCATCGTATCTGCCTACACCCCCACTGACTGCAGTTCAGACGATGTGAAAGATGAGTTTTATGAACCTCCAAATAGTTAGGCGCTCCGCCGTAGTAATAATGGCTGGTGACTTTAATGCTCAAGTAGGTAGACTAAGTGAGAAGAAAAGACACCTGGATGGTGTCGTAGCTAATAGAACAGATAATGGTGACCGTCTATTGCAACTGTGCTCAGGTAACCGCCTATTTCTAGCAAACACTAACTTTAAGCATAAGGAAAAACATCTGTTGACGTGGCGACCCCGAAATTCGTCTCAACGTTGGACCCAACTAGATCACATCGCTAGATGGATGGCTCGTAAACTCGTCACACCTGGCTCTGAAAATGACGAAGAGTGAAGTACCAATGTTGTATGGCAACCTGATCTGATGTACTTACGTATGAAGTTCTACGTTGCAATTGACTGACTCGCTGTTGAAATACTCCTTTTAAAATAAAGTTTCAGGTTGAGGGTTTCGTGCTGGTCGTGTCTGAATTGGTCCTTTTTTACTGTTTTGATAGAAATTTCCTGATAATCTTATCTGGCTAGCCATGGTTTCTTGATGTTTGCTTTATTTTTTCTATTTCACTATCTACACTATCCTCACAACATAATGGCTTGATTCTATGGCTGAGGCATTTTACTAAATCTATTACTAAAGGGGTGTAAAGCTCGGAAAATGGCTGCATTAACCTGTCCATGTATTCTTTCGAAATATTTTTCTTTTTATGTCACCGTCTATCCTTCTAGAAAACAGGACATCAGGAATATTTATACGGTTATAGTCACCCTCCTTCGCTAGTGAATTTAATAGCTGGTTGAACGTCAGCAAAATTGTTCAAAGTTCCTCTTTATTGATACATTTGTTGCAGACGGTTAGTGTTTCGTCCGTATATTGATAGTATTAATTTAGCGTAGTCAGGATATCTTTCAAAGGTCTACTTTCCAATTTGGCTAGAAAAATATTAGAAAGGATCAGACCTAGAGAAGATCCCATTGCTACTCCATCTGTTTATATATAGAGTTCGTTGTTAAACAATAAGTTGATATTTATTGAAGTGAAATTTACGGGTTGGGGTTTGATTTGAAGATCCGTTAGTCAAAGCTTAGTGGTTAGGTCATGACGCTATCACTAAACAATTGGAGCAGGAAATTTGAAACACTCTTCTAATATGTGTTGTTTAGATCGACGTCGCCGTACAATCGACCTTGTCAGTTTGCGTAATATCTTTTGACTTTCAATTTATTTCGCTGCTTAATTTGTTATACATTTTTTGATTCATATATACCTTAAAAATGTTTATTTCGCCTATTTCACAACATTGTTGCTTATATTTTATCTAAGGAATATGATTTTGTGTTTACGGTTGACATTGACGATACCATGCCCGAGCTTAAACTTCCTTACAATCGTACTGAAGATCCTTGGTTTGCAGCTCATTCGTTTATTCAAAGACACAATTTACCTGCTGGTTATCTGGATACGGTTGCTAATTTCATTATTCAAAATGCAGGACCGCCAATTACTCCTATTGTCAGCAATGATCTTTCTCACAGTGATCCTTTTACTGGAGCGCATCGATATATTCCTAACAGCTCTTCCTCGACGATAACAAAGTCTACCGCAAATGGGACATCAGTTTCCACTCCTTATTTTCCATCCGAAACCTTTATATCTATGAAGTCAATCAGCCTCGGCCCCTTAATGAGTAGGTCACTTTTTGATATTTCTATGTAATTAATGTCTAAAATATATGATTATCCTTTTAAATCTTTTAGTTATTTGGTCTCTTATTCTTAGTTGCATATTACTAGCTAGTTGAGTATATTACAAATCATAAGATACAAGCGTATGATTGTTGATGGAATTCTAAGCTAATAACCGTACCACTATCATATGCAATCAAAGCTGAAGCTGTTAGTAATGTTTCCATTGTTATTATTGAACATTGAAATAGTCAATCAATCATTGCTAGACCACGATTAGAAACCTGGAAGCACTGGACAGCCGTTTTCCCCTGGTATGGGACTCATCAGCAGTGCGCATCCACAACTCCTGCACTTCGCAGGACTCGAACCCAGGACCTTCGGTCTTGGGCGCGAACACCTAACCTCTGGACCACTGGGCCGGCATCCAACGGTGTTACTGTATTCGTTCATTATCATCAACTTATTTCAGTTCAGAAGAGTAACTTTTTTACGCTCGTCACTAGGTATGCTTGAAACTATTACGGGTTCACCTTAGTCGGTATACGAGAACGAGACACTGAACCAGCGCCCAGGTAGGCTTCTCTGATCCGTTGACCCAAGGGCACTAACGAGAAGTTTTGATATAGGGTAGAAAGTGGATTCTACAAACACCCAGCAAGCACACAAATTGCGTTTATTTATACACCATAGACATCCTTGGGAGAGTCACAAAAATAGCATACTGAGATAACACAAACCAATCGCAGCCAAGGATTTTCCTGGTGGGAAATGTGATCTCAAGGTCAGCTGATCAGCTTATGAATAAAATCCAGAATAAAGGCATTTATCAAGCGAGTTCTGAGGATCTAACATCCCTAACAAATTTGAAGCCAAATTCATAAACTGATGTTTAATCACTGAGTTCTGTTCAATTTAATTTGACCTTAATTATACTTATTCTAATGCAGCAAATAATATTGTCGCTCTACTATGCTTTAAAGTGGTTTTTTTAGCTCAAAGATAGAGTCAGTCTCCAGGATTACTGTTTTGCGGCGGATGTTCTATGTACTTTGTAATTATGTGTAATTGTCATCAAATTTGTCAACAAACATTTCTGTACATTTGATATTTCCTCTTTCAAATTTATTCTTTGATAATATGTCTCATATGAAAACCATCACACCTGTCTTAAATTAACTTTGTATATCCTTAGCTTAAGAATTGTTACATAAAAGCAGTCATTTCAATCATAAATACTCGTGAAGGAGTAAAAAACACTGTTTATTATTATTATTTATTTTTTATTAATTTCCTTCATACACAGCGAAACTGGAATCATTCAATGTACACTCACCGGTCCCATTAAATAATGAATTCTTAGAAGAATGTAGAAAATTCAACGTTGATGATTGTACTGAAACCGAAGCTGTTCATCTTGCCACTGATATTTTAGAAGCAATAAAAAAGTGGACTCCTGGTATGTTATCAAGTTTAACATACTGTTGTCGTTTGCTCATTCACACGTTACATGGTGTTTCGATACAGTTCACAAATAAAGTAATTATCGTATGTTGAGTTTGTTACAAGGTGAATGTTTTGAAATAAGGCTGTTATTTTTTGGTGGTGTTAGTTTAGTAAATGTATATCCATTCACTCTAGCTCATTCCACCTCATCACAATGAAAGGATATCAGCGAAACGATTAAAATAATACAAAAAGGGCAAGTCTAAAGAAAGCAAATGAAATAGCGACATAAAATGTGTAGAGTAATTTCAAGTTTCTGTTGATCGTAAGATAATACGTGCATATTCACAGCCGCGACTGATTTTAAACCATTTAATCTAGTCTTCAATAAAAAAATAACAGATTTTTACTGAATTCCACCCAACGACTAAGTGGGCTACTCTGAATTTTTTTAAAATATGCAATTTTTCTTTCAGCGCAAACATTGTGATTGTGGATGCTTGATCTATGTTTTGTTCAATTTTTCATTATCGAGTTATGAAGATTGTCCTTTATTACTGTAATCATGAATCAATCATAGTTAGGCCGCCATTAGGAACCAGAAAACACTGGACGGCAGTTTCCTACTGGTATGGGAGTCATCAGTAGTGTGCATCTATGACTGCTGCTACTCGCAGGATTCGAACCGAGCATTTTTGGTCCCGTGCGCGAACGCTCAACCTTTGGACAACTGGGCCGGCATCTAGTGGTGTTAATGTCTATCTCCGACCAATTTAGGGATTTTTTGCTACATTGTGGTGGCCGATTTCGACGTGTTCTTAAGCGTCGTAATTATCTCGTTCGGACAGTTGTTACCAACTAGCGTCTGACGGTTTATAAATCAGAAGGTGAACTCGAAGTGTTGAATACGTTTGTTTTTGGCACACCACAAATAGATCAGTAAACTATAAGCAGACCGGGCAGGCACACTAGCGAGCGAACGTGCGAATGAACGGATGAAGCGGTGTGGAGGAGGCTAGTGAGCCAATTCGGAGAGATAAAGCGTGACTAAGAATTTTTAGTCAGATAAAAATAAGACAGACATGTAGTAAGCGAAATAGACATGTACACACATGAATAAAAGCGACGAATGGTTGACAAGGTCATAGGACAGGTGGGACAAGTCACGTGAGCTCATACAAACCAGACAGTAATAAGAACGAATGGCACACATAAATTGTTGCTATACAAATGGCTTGGTTAAATAAATTAATCGAAAGGGCTTAACCAAGTTAGATCTAAGCCAACTGGAATATTTGTGGAGGCACAACAACATCACCCATCATGATTTCAATAATAAACAACCATGTCTATAAATCTATAATGACTAGCTTCGTGAGGATATTCTCGGAGTTCTAGTTAGATGACGTGCCAACCCTGTCGGGTAGGTAATAACTACCGAAACACCTACATGTTCTGTTCATTTTGATGGTTAGCGTTAAACAGTCCCCTTTAATCTACCCAGTACACAGAAGTTAGTATAACTAACTTCTTATTTCCCATAAATGTGATCAGTGTTTACAACATACTTATTATCGATTATTAGTCATCAATCTACATCATCAAGCATTGAATACCAAATCTGATATCCATTATGTATCGTAAAATGAAATAATGTTTAGTATATACATTATTTGCTAAGTGGACGGAAATTAGGCTTCATCAAGAATCATAAACAATTCAGAAAACCAGTGATGAGTATCGAATACATTTAACTGAACCATATTCGAAACAATGTTTTGTAACAGTGAGTAAGTACTCAAGAGAAAATGGAGATGATGTATTGAGTATCAGCTCCTAATTTCTATTTAGATCGTTCTTAAAATTGATTCATTTTTTTACATTTTTTTGTCACAGATACAATATTTCCTTTATTGGATATTCTACGTTGTTTAGTTTTTTGGCCGATATCCAGTGATATTATATTTGAAACAGTGAATTGGGATTATCTTCTGTCAGTTAGTCTTAACAATCCTGATTTGTCAAGTGCAAATTGTTTATTGATATTACGTCTGTTAGTAAACTGTTTAGCTGCCGATGGTCCAAGATTTATTGACATTATTCGATGTCAGTCGATTTCATCATCATCCTCAGCAAGTAATAGTGATAAACCAAATGTGCCAAAATCCTTAATTACTGCTGTTGGAATGACTGGGAGATTAATCGAACTTGTCAATGATAATAAATTGCAGTTTGTAGCGCGTAAACCTCACCAGGTCAGATTTTATTTTTTTTTAATGGTTTTATTGTATTTCTTCTCGCATTCAGTGGTTACGGGATTTATGGAGACTGTTCAAAATGAAGCTAATATTCATTACAAATTGAAGACATGGAGAACTGTTAAAAACCTCAACTAGCTCAGTACATGTGTTTTGTTTCAGTTTATTTCTTCTCAATTGAATATACTCATGACTCTGATGATAACAAAAAGTAGAACCTTCAGGTGTCGTGACGAGCACGATACCATCAAAAAATTGGATTTCAACCCAATAGTTCATATTTTTTAATTCTAATCAGTTTGTGATGTTGTATAACTTTCATCCAATACCATTGGTAATATCTGTTTTATGTACACGGATATTAGTAATTGTCAGTAGTCTGGAAATATGAATTTTGTGTCGTTTCATGTGTTGGTGTTCCGTTTAGACCAAGTTCTATGGTTTTACGGTTTGAATTTCCACTAGTTTAATTTTTACTTTATTCACTGGTACTTATCAACAGATAGATGCTGTTTACAAAAAACGTTTTACTTAATAACCTGGGTTTTTATCTAATTTTTAGGTTGCATTGGCCAACTTGATGTATAATATGTCTGTACTTGTCCATTTATCGAAACAATTATCTATCGAGTCAAGTATATTTCCTCAACTACGTTTTGTATCTGGTGTCTGTATTCGAATAAGCCTTAATATTCTATCACTTGCTTTGGAACACGGTTGTAGTGGTGTTACACAATTACATCCAGAAGCTGTAAATCATTTATTTGTATCACTTGGTACCTGTTTATTATCAGTAACTTCAGGATCTAATTCAACAAACGAGCAACTAAGAACACAACGTATTCGTGTCCTTGCTTCAGCTATGATTGGTCTGAAAGATTTATCTCAAAGCGTTGAAAGCGATGTAAAAAGTGCTACAAATGCAGATGAAATTACCGCCTGGGAATCAGTTCGTAAAATTATCAATTACTGGATGACTACACCTACGGCTTGTCCTAATGTACGAGCGTGTGCATCTCAGTTACTTTCAATTTTAGAATAAACGGTGTCGACTGACTGAAAACAATATTTGTACTTTTAAAGAAGTTTTTGCCTTTTTTGTTTAATATGGCTGCTTTGAATTGTAGACTTTAAACTTGAACGGTTTACTCGTTTAGGAAGTATTTGTAAAAGTGTCTGTGTTTCATTTTTACTAATGTTGACTTTCCATTTTGTAAAGTCTTATGAATTAGTTTATATTTTATAAAATTGTATTATTTGTTATTACTTGCATATTATTTCGTAGAAATATTTGGTATTTTTTCATTGGCTTTTTGGGATTTAGATACTGACTACATATCTAGTTCTCAGTTTGCCTTGTTATTGTTGGTCTTCGAATATATATATATATATATATATATATATATATATATATATATATCATAAGGCTTTATAAACTCCAGTTTTTATCAATAAAAACACTGGGTTGACTCATCTCTATGCATCGACAGGTTTACTTGATAAATGTTTCACTTCTAAGGTAGAGAAAGTATTTTGTGACTTAAACTAACAATATTTTGATTTTTGAATAAATACCAGTCTAAATGAACATCAGCTTCATTCAGGTTTGAATGTTGATTTAAAAACTACACCCTTTATATGGTAGTACCGATATGACTGATCAAAACAAAGTTTCTGCTAAATCATAAGCATCCTATAATGTAGTTGTAGAAATTCGTTTATCTGAACAGATATGAATAATATATCCTTCAAACAAAGATACATGTAATTGCTACTGCCATCGTAGTTTTCTCGTGCGAAGAAACGCAGGATGGACAGCCTTTATATTCATTAATGAAGTTCAGTTTCCTAATTCTCCTGAAACACTTCACTAGAACAATAAAACTGAATCACTGAAAATCGATTGTCAACACGGTGATTTTACAAATTTGCAATGTCGCTTGACATCCAAGCATCTTGTCAAAGCTGCAGGTTTTGGTCCAGAATCGTAAGCGCGTAAATTCGACAGCGTTTCAGCCGGTTCGAAATTTCCTTGTACCATTTATGTCTCCTTATGACACCACTTCGTATGTATGTACAACGTACTAACATCATTTCGAAGTATAATTATTGTAGTCATCTTAATCGTTCAGTTAACCATTCAACGTCAATTATCTCAACCTTAAAATGAAATTGATTCATCTAGCAACAAAAGCTAAACATTTTACTTTGACAAAGTAATATGTATAGTTGGGTTAAGTGCAACAACCCTATATACATCTGGTGATTTAGCATAATACTCATCTAACTGTCCTACGATAAATTATACACTAGATAAAACGAGACATACTGAAATAAAAAAATACAGGAATGTGATAATTTCTTAAATAGTGGTCTCACGTTGATGAATTTCAGAATGGTGTCTGGTTGCTACATACATTATGAAATGGTCGACTATATAGCCTAGCTTGCGTGATATCTCATAAATTCCTAATGTTACACTAATACACAAGTTGTCAAGACATTTTCCGATCAAACCTTGACGTTTGACAACAGTTCTCATTATATTATTTCCTTAATTAACTATTTTGCAAAATGGCGCTGCAGTTTGATTAAGTTGGGCAAGTTTTCGTATTATGTCCTGGTAGCGAAACGATTCAAATGCTTCGAGCACTGGTAAAAGCCTTGAATTATTTATTACACCGCTTAAATCAAAAATTCAGGTAACCTTAAGATAAATTTTAAGGGAGTTGGGTGTGCGGGTTGCATTTAGATTTCTCGGACTGGACAATAATGAATGCTAACTGTGTGTATTCATACACTTCTATATAGGACATACAAATTGTTAGGATGCTAAATACTGGAGAACTAGGGTTTAAACATCATGATTGTTTGCATATTTTTCTGCTTATTTATCCTCTGAAAACATGTTCGATGAATATATTGAAATTTGTGTTCTGTGAATGATGGACGCAAAAAGTGAACTGTGCAACTAAAGTGGTTGCAAACCTGTACAACCTCAGGTTACTGGCAAATATTGAGCGGTAAGTTCATTATTAAATCGTGTTTTTCGAATGATTACGGTTTAACTGTGTATTCAGTAAAAACTTGTTGCAGTATTATACAGTTGATCCTTCATAACTACATAGATAGGTCTAAGAAGATCGAAAACTTCGTAAAGACTAAGGTATGCACGGAAGGGGTTAGTTCTTGTGTCGAAGCAATTCATGTGAAGAACACCATGTTTGGGTGTAACCAGCACTATAAAGATTCGATATATTTCAAAATTTTATATCCTTACTATCCAAGTTTGTTTACATTTAATCTAGTTAAGCCCTAGTTAAACCCTTCTTGAACAGAGTATCATTCGAACAGTAACAATGTACCTATATTTTATTACTATTATTATCACGTTTGTATGGATATTTATGTTTGATCTTGCTACAGTCCACACATATTCTTCTGACTAGCTTAAGTGTTAGTTGCTTTAATAACTCAATGACTCAGTCAGTCAGTCAGATGCAACGTAGAACTTCGTACGTAAGTACATCAGTTCATGTTGCCATACCACATTAACAGAGATGTAATTGTCAATTTAAATCCAATAGTAGTAGAGGTAGTAAAGGTATTAGAGTAATCGGAGAGGTTAGGATTAGAAGATATTATTCAAGAAGTATGATTCAGTGAGATAAGTTTAGAAAGACAAAACTAGAGGGTTTGAAGAATCCATAAGATTAGGATTTGAGAGAATACAGAGTGGATGCACCGGCGCCATTGCAAACGTTTTCGAGCCATGTCATTTAGGGTCTCTAACCATCGATTATTATCATCTTGCGGACCCCGACCAGGTAGTCGACAACTACCGACATGACTCAGTCCACTAGTCAATGACTTCATGGATTTCTGCCATGTTTTGGTCTGCCCGCCCCTAACTTTATTCCAACCTACTCCTAAAGTTTCATTACTTCATCTATTGATCTGCCATCCCTACCTAGCACCCGTTTCCTAAAAACAGCATTGCTCACTTGGGTATCCCCGGATATACAAGCAATGCTTCGAACACACCTATGATCGAAAACCAGTAACCTACGAATATATTCTACTCTCACTGGCCATGTTTCACAGCCATAAAGTAAGACGGAGAGAACTACTGCACAGTAGTACACTCGTCCTTTAGTCAGCAAACGGTTACCTCGCCTACGCCATAAGTGACTCAAGTTGGCAAAAGCCAATCGGGCCTTCTGTATCCGAGCTGAGATTTCGTCAGTCACCGGGTCATCAGCACTGATGAGACTCCTCAGATAAGTGAATCGGTCAACACGCTCGACTACTTCACTCCCTATCACTACTTCAGGTGGCGATGCGACCCAATTTTGAAGCAACATTTTGCATTTCGAGGAGGAGAACCGCATACCGAACATGCTTAAATTGTTGCTTAGGGTGGTCAGACACTGCATTTTGTTAGCGTCTTCACCGAATAGGACTATGTCATCGGCATATTCTAAGTCGATAAGCGAGCCTCCTGGTTAAAGGTTTACTCCTGAAAATTCAGACGAGAATGAGGTTATTTCTAAGAGCATATCTATGATACAATCAAACAAGAATGGAGAGAGTGGACATCCCTGACGGACACCACTTGAAGTAAAGAATTCCGGTGACAGTTCGCAATAAGCTCTCACTCGACCAGTGGTGTTCGAGTAGAGAGCTTGTATAAGGTTAATGTTCTTGTTTGGTACACCTTTCAATGACAGACACTGCCACAGAACCTCACGTTCCACTGAGTCAAATGCCGCCTTAAGGTCCAGGGACACGACTATTGTAGGACGTCTAAATGTGTGTCTGTGTTCCAGGACCTGTCGTAGTGTGAAGATGTGGTCTATACAACTACGTCCAGGTCGAAAACCAGCCTTGTTTTCTCTAGTCTGCACTTCACGAGCTTTCGTTCAGCGTCGAAATATTATTGAGGCCAATATTTTAGATACTATATTAGTTAGACTTATTCCCCTGTGATTGTCACAAGAAGACTTTTGTCCTTTCTTATAAATTGGAGCAATCAGGGATTGAGACCAGTCAGATGGGATTATGCCTAATCCCCAGATCCTACCTAAGATCTTGGTCTATCTAACTGCTAAAACTGCACCGCTATCCTTAAATATCTCGAGGGTCAGTCTATCAGGACCTGCAGCTCGCCCTCTCTTCAGATTTCCTAACGCTTTCTCAACTTCATAAACACTAGGGGGACTTAAGTCGATTTGCCATTCAGGATGACTGGAGATCGTGGTAACCGAAGAGTGGCTCGAGGCCAGTTGAACTGAGGACCCATTCGTTTTCCTACGTATCTGCATCTCAGATACTATTTGTCCGTCATCACATTCACACGCATTTTCATTTCTGTTCGTATTTTCTTTTTGTACTTATGGCTTTGTGATATGTGCTTTACGTTGAAAAGCAGTAGTCAACGTTTTATATCGTCTTCTTAGGAGTTATCTAAAAATGGTTATGAGGATGACTAATGTATAAATTTAGGAATTGTTTCGAATATGAATTTGCTGTAGTCTTATCCAGTAGTACGCTGTTTTCTGCAGTAAAATAAAAATATGTTATGAATTAGTGATAAGAATAATCAAATATTAGAATGAAGGTTATCAAAATGATGTGATTTATATATGTCGAATAATTTAACCACACATACATATTCAGAACAATTATTCGTTAACTAAACACTTCATATAATAATCGTAACAAGGGTAATTTTAGTCAGTCTACCCGAAATATATTACACCAAAAAAAACTAGTAGTCACATCAAAAAACTAGTAGTTTTATTACTTCAGTAGAAAGTGTCCCTTCCTTTTAGTATTTTCTTCATCTAAGCTTTGGACGGTATTGAAGTCGCTGAATCTAGCTCAACATTACATGATAGCCAAGTGAATTGTACCGATATATGTAACACAAAAATCAACAAATGAACCCCAACGATACTATCCTTACCTAAATATTATGCTTCAGGAACTACACTACTTACAAGTAGTATAGTTTTTAATTGTGAAGTGTTACTTTTGCATCCAAACCTGAAATAATGTTAGGTACTGAAGTGGCTAAGCCTGTGAATCACCTCTCTTACATTGAAAGTTTTTTAACCCCGTGGTGGGTTAGTGTCCGTTGAAATCTCAGCATGAAATATGGAAGTTACTTTGGCTTTACTAACACGTGACACTTGTGGCATAGTTGAGACATCTACAAACTGAAGGACGAGTATTTTTCGCAGCAGTTCGTCATATAATACTTTTATTGCTGTGAAACGTGACCTTTA